GAGAGAGAGAGCAAGCGAGCACGTGTGTGTGTGTGTGTGTGTGTGTGTGTGTGTGTGTTTTGCGAGGCAGTGCAGGTAAAGGTAGAGTCTAAATTAGTTGACTTCCCAAAGTTTTTTGTAACTAGTGTCAATGGGATGTAGTTTGTGTGGCTCCACATTTCTTCATGATTAAGTTGGGAGGGAGCCAGTTGTTTCTCTGAGTCAACAGTTTAATCAAAAGCTCAGTTTCTTGGGCATTAAGACAGAAGTTCTTGTTTTATACTCCTTGGAATAATACCTATGGTAGAATTGAGGATAAATACTTTGACCAGTGTTGAGTGATACTGTAGGTTTTTGACCTGTCCTTTGCCTTGTATGGTTTGCAGATTTCTTTTCTTTTTCTTTTTTCTTTTGGTACTGAGGATAAGACTCAGGGTTACTTAACTGAGCCGTATCCCCACCCCTTTTTAAACTTTTTTTTCCCCCAACCCCCCTTAAAACTTTTTTATGTTGAGACAGGGTCTCACTAAGTTGCCAAGGCTGACATTGAACTTGTGGTCTTCCTGCCTAGCCTCTCTGGTTGGCTGGGATTACTGGTGTGTGCCACCGTGCTAGGGCTTGCAGAGTTTTTTTTCTGGCTCTTTGTGGCCTAGGTGTTTGGAGTTATTCATGTCTGTCATGGCCACTCACCCACTGTTGGTTGCTGAATTTCATTTCTTCTCCATTGTTCTGCTGCACCTCCCAATTCCTCATTCCCCAAATGATGTGGTTTCTTGTAACTCTCTGATCATTGATTCATTGATAATAGTTCTGTGTAGTCATGAGCTCAAGTTATTTTAGATTTCAGCTTGCCAGTCTGACTCAACATTGGGGGTGGGGGTGCTGGTGCATCCTTGTGGCTAGCAAGAGGAACAGTGCTCGTTGCTTTTACTGCCGTGGTTTCCTTTCAGGCTTAGAAATGGCTGTAGAGACCGAGAACTCTTCTTAAGGTCATTTCTAATTAGTGATCTCGAAATACTGTTATTTCCTCTTAAGCAAGCATCTGACTCATTACCATTAGGGAACTCTGGATAATTCATTTATTTGTCATGTGTACAGAGCACTGCTGTGCTAGGTACCAGGGGAAGCAATGGTAAAGATATAGCCCTGCCTTCAAGATGGCCAAACCCATGAACAGTGACAGGAAAGTAAGATAGAAGGGCATGGTGGTATGTAGAGGCTCCTGGAGGCCACGGAAAGCTTTCTGGTGCTGTAATTGAGCTGTTTTGAAGGAGGAGCAGGAGTAGGCAAGGTGAAGAAGAAGGGGAGTGAGTGTTCAAGGAAGGAGTGCAGTGGCAGGCAGTTCCCAGATTCCATACTCAGTGTCATTTCTTTTTTTTTTTTTTAGATTTTTTTTTTTTTTTTTTAAGAGAGAGACAGACAGTGAGAGAGAGAATTTTTTTTAACATTTATTTTTTAGTTCTCGGTGGACACAACATCTTTGTTTGTATGTGGTGCTGAGTATCGAACCCGGGCCACACGCACACAAGGCGAGCGCGCTACCACTTGAGCCACATCCCCAGCCCCTCAGTGTCATTTCTAGGAGCTGATGTGAGTACTCTGTAGGCAAGAGGAGAGGATTAGAAGCCAGCTAGCCCTCTGGGCCAAAAGACCCAGGAGGCAAGTTCTATCTCTCAAGTATGATTTCTTTTGCTTATGGTCCAGACCTGAGTGGTCAGGGTTCATGAAGTCAGGAGCAGTGGGAGTAAAAGAGGATTGGATTTAGTTAGCACTGCTTAGGGGTGTAGGGGATGCTTTAGTGACTGTGGATGGTGGCACTTCATTGAAACAGGGAGTAAGAAAGAGGACCAGGCCGGGTGAGGTTGCACATGCCTGTAATCCCAGCAGTTTGGGAGGCTGAGGCAGGAGGATCACAAGTTCAAAGTCAGCATAAGCAACTCAGTGAGACCCTGTCTCTAAATAAAATACAAAAAATACAAAAGGCCTGGGGATGTGGCTCAGTAGTTAAGTACCCCTGGGTTCAATCCCTGGTACCATTTAAAAAAAAAAAAATAGGACTAGGTTTGGGGATGGTGAAAAGGTCATTGGGGGCCCATTAATTAGTATCCAGGTGCATGAGTTGGAGATGTTCAGTGGGCTGTGGGAGAACTGAGAACTGGAGCTCAGGAGAGGGAGATAGCCTCAGATAGTTGGAGTCATTGGCTATACTGAATGAACTCCTTGTTTGGAGTAGGTGAGACCTACTGGGAAATGGGTCAGGAGGCCCTAGTTTCTAATTTTTTTCTTTTTTTGGTACTAGGGATTGAACCCAGAGGCACTTAACCATTGAACCATATCCCTGGCCCCTTTTGTATTTTATTTAGAGAAAGGATCTCACTAAGTTGCTTAGGGCCTTGCTAAGTTGCTGAGGCTGGCTATGAACTTGCGATCTTCCTGCCTTAGCCTCTTGAGCCACTGGGATTACAGGCATGTGCCACTGTGCTTAGTCCCAATTCCTAATCTTGACCTTGCTGGCATATATGGAAATATTTTCTCTGTGATCTTTTTTCTCCCCCTCCCCCTTTTAACTGATTTTAGTGTGAACTACATGTGCAATAAAGTCTTTTTTTTTCCCTGTGGTGTTGGGAATTGAACCCAGGGCCTTGTGCACATGAGGTAAGCACTCTACCAACTGAGCTACATCCCCATCTCTGCAATAAAGGCTTTATTCTTGAATGTAAATCCCATTTTCTCTATTCTACATGCATGAGTGAGTGTGTGTGTATGTGTATGTTGGAGCTGGTGGGGCTTCCTCACTTTCCTGAGTTGTAATGGGAAACAGGTAACCAGTGTATGGTTCTTTTTTTTAATGTAGTGTTGAGGATCGAACCCAGTACCTCACACGCGCTAAGCTGCCCCAGTCCCCAGTGGATACTTTTTTTTTTTTTTAAAGAGAGAGAGAGAGAGAGGAGAGAGAGAGAGAATTTTTAATATTTATTTTTTTAGTTCTCGGCGGACACAACATCTTTGTTTGTACGTGGTGCTGAGGATCGAACCCGGGCTGCACGCATGCCAGGCGAGCGCGCTACCGCTTGAGCCACATCCCCAGCCCCAGTGGATACTTCTTTAATTAGGTTTTATTACTGTGAAATTGGCAAGTCCTAGTCAGTTGTTTAACTTGTCATAGTTTGTTTTCTAAGGAATCACCAGATTTTCCAAAATTACTTTTGAATTTTCTGATGTTAGGATGCAGTCCTCTGTTACGCATTCAGAGTTTGGATTAGGGCTGGGACTGTAGCTCAGTGGTAGAGTACTTGCCTCGCACAGGTGATGCACTGGGTCTGATCCTCAGCACCACATAAAAACAAACAAACAAATAAATAAATATATCGTGTC